TTTTTTTTTCTCCAGTGGGCCATTGTCATCCAGAGGTGGTGAAGGCAGGAGCCGAGCAAATGCAATCTCTGAACACCAACACCCGGTTTTTGCATGACAACCTGGTGCTGTATGCTGAAAGGCTGCAGGCCACTCTACCAGACAAGCTCTCTGTGTGCTACTTTGTCAACTCAGGGTAAAATATACAATATTCCACACGTCAAACAAGTTGGACAGCATTTAAAAGAAACTCAGTAACATTCAGACATTGTTTGACTTGGGTCTAAATGGTGTGACAGACATAAAGCATAATAAAGTAAGGAAAGCTCAATAGTCCCTCTCATAAAGTGCTGTTTAAAAATGTTTTAATCCTTTATGATTATTTATATGTAAATGACAAATAATAGTTTACGTTTTATATATTTTAAATTATTTATTTGTAAAGATAATTACAGAAATAGTAAGGAGCAAAGTTACCTGAAGGTTACTACATAGATATTCTAGAGATGTGAACAAAGCAAGGAAAACGGTCACAATCAGCATTATTTGCTTCCTAGAGATATGATTTATCAAACTCCTCCAGGTCACCATGGTTACTTATTAACACCACTTACAGCATTACCTGCCTGAATAATCTAGAAGGCAATTCTGTTTTTGATAACAATCCATAAATCCTCGATACTACAGAGAAGACATCAAAGATACTAATCAGAGATACTAAGTTATAAACCTGCGTTGAAAGAGGCTTCAGTAAGGAGATGAGGTGTTATTTATATTGTTTTCTAATAAATAGAAAATTAAATCATATTAGCTCTTTGCAGTACTCTTCACAATCGTCCAGCTGCTTCAAATTTTAAAATCACAAGATATCCTAGCTTTGTATTGGAACTGTATTTGATGGAGTGGAATATAAAACAAAAGTAGTGAGCTGCTCATTCCCATAACATGATGGTGCCACCACCTTGCCTCAGTGTAGATTTAATGAGTTTAATGCAGAACTAATAATCCCCAAAAAATAATTAAAAATTAAGAAACAATCATTGTACTTGGTTTCCAAGTTTGAAGATGTTTCGCTTCCCATCCAGGAAGTTTTTTCAATTCAAAATGTAGCTTCCTTAGTGGGAAGCGAAACGTCTTCAAACTTGGAAACCAAGTACAATGATTGTTTCTTAATTTTTAATTATTTTTTGGGGATTATTAGTTCTGGCATTAAACTCATTAAATCTACA